ATTTTTGCATGTTATCACTGTGCCCGTTTTTTGCTTTTATTCTTTGTTCCGCAAAGTGCGCTCTTTTAGTTTGTAGTGATGTGACAATATATTGGCACGATCTACCTTCATGGTCATGGTAGGGGGAGTTCCCTATGGGGGTGGGGGATGCAATAGTCGTGTTGGTTTTGCTTTGGAGATCTTGTTCCTCTGGATGTTGTACCTCCCGGGATTTTTTCAGGTGGGCATTGTATGCTTCCTCTGACGGGTGGGGATGCAATAGTCGTGTTGGTTTTGCTTTGGAGATCTTGTTCCTCTGGATGTTGTACCTTCCGGATTTTTTTCAGGTGGGCATTGTATGCTTCCCTTTGATGAGCTTGTGTATTTCGTCCGCGGGGAATGCCTTGCGAATTGGATACCTGCCACATCCAACACGGCCTAAGTATGTGTCGAAATGCACAGTTGCAAACGTTTGTCTGGAGTGATGAGCATGAACCAACGCCAATGGTGTAAATCTCAGGCAGGGCCTTCCTTGTCACATTGACGCATTGTGGCATTCTCTGTGAAGCTGGACAAGATTACATGGAACAGGCGGAGTAGGTTTCATGGTTGTAATATGCGTTTGCAATGATAGCCACAGCGCTAACCACCATGGGGTTCTTTGAAATGGACTGTTGGTGGCAGCGAAGAGGAAGGAGAAGCAGGCAGAGCTGGCGAAGCAGAAAAATGATGAAACGTATCGAAGGTATTGCCATATCTCAGCAGGTAGTCCTGCGCTTCTTTGCCTCACTTCTGGGTGTTATGAGCGCCTCACCCACCTTAGAGACTGGCATGTGTTTGAGTTTGACGTTGCAAATGCAATATAGGGGTGAGAGGACCACACAAGAGTGACAAGCCCAGAATGTCAGCCTACTGATTAACCTGAGCACATTGTTGGAGGTTTCAGAAGTTAGTGCATTGCCATAGAGAGCATTGTCAGAACTCGAGCACATTTTCAGAGCGGGCAGAAGCTGAGCATACTGTAAGAACTTGAGCATGCATTATAACATGAGCAGCAGAAAGACAAAAGTATGATTATGGGAAGCTATTAAAGCATAAGGAAAAACTTTTGTAGTCTGCCTTCAGCCTGGATATGAACTCTGCTTTGCACGCTGTGCGGTAACCCGTGTTCTGCAGCAGTCTGGGCCCTCGAAACGGAGCCCAGATGACTCAGGCCAAACTCAGCCGGTCACACACTATTTCGGAAAGTCAAAAGTCTAAGTCAACTGTCAAATGTACCACGCCCAGGCCCTTGGTCGGATACATTCACTTGTTGTGCGCAGGTACCCGGACAGCATCAAGACCACAGGGAGTTCGGTTTCAGGCAAATCTGGGACGCCATTTGTCTCGAGATCTCGACGGCCTAGGGAAGCAGCAACCGGGGTCCAGACCCCGCATCATCGCTAAATAAGCCTGGACTACCTGGCTGAGAGAACAGTCTGTCTTACGACAATGCTGACTTCACGCGTTGACTACGATGCTAGTGCGACGCTACGACGCTGGCTGGGACGCTGGCACTTGAGCGACTACGGCGACGCGCTGCTGGCTCGGCAGGGTGGCTGGCTGGCAATTGTCTTCTGGGCATGCTGATGTGGCAGCTGCCATGCGCCGCCGCTGACCTGGCTGCTTCCACATGTACTCTTGCTGACGTGGCAGGGCTACGTGTCTGATATTGCTGTTCTGATTCATCGTTTTTCGGAAGGAGATCAAGACTGTGGGGCATTTGTAGATACATTCCTGGTCTCTCGACGTCAACATTGCTCCGGCTCGCTGATGATGACAGGTTGATGTGCCACATGGCACATTGAGATAGAACTTCATGTGTTCGGACTACTGATTATTGAGGTGGTGATTTAGGAGGGAGCCCGAAGCAGGAGTGGGCATTGTTTACTTCTCCCCTAAGTCTATTCTCCCCTCTCTCTCTTTCGTCTGTGTATGTTTCCCCATCTCATTCTATCTGGACACGATTATGATTATTGACAATCATCAGCAGGTTGATATCCATCTGGGCTTGCATTGTTGACAAGTGTCTTCACGATCTGGGTTCATTGCAGTTGTCAGAACTTGAGCATATTCCTCAGAATGCTGGCATGGAAGGAGGCTGCAATGACAAGGATAAGTCGTACAAGGCGAAACATCGATCTTGGAACTTAATTCTGGTGTGCATCCAGTCTGGAATGGCACTAACACTATTTGTGAATCATGTTTATTATGTTATGGAGGAAAATATGTGTGGAGGAAGCAATATGCGGACCTGAAGATTGGAAAGCAATGTTTTGGTCTGCATGTTGTCCGGAAGGGCACCAAATTACCAGTACCATATGTGGAGGTTCTTTCAGCCCTGGAGAGGCAGTCCAGTACTGTCTAAAAGGGTGTCGCTGTGAGTGAATAATATTTAGCAGAATTGTTGAGCAAGCAATTGTAAAACCGCCATGGTAGGGGAGGCCTTTCTTTTGAAAAGAAGATAAAAACGGGGGCTGGCCCCCGTTTTTACATGTTAGAGGTCATACACACTGTGTGCGGTTGGTTCATGACAGGGCTTTTCTTTTTTGACTCCCAACTTTTCATTCAAAGCAATGCTGTAGCGAATTGCATTGTCTCTGTGAGTGGTCCCCTACACTACATTTTCTATTCTCTTTCTTTGTAATATTCTCCTATTTCGTGGAGTCTACTCGAGGAGATATGCTGCAGATGGTCTTGAATCTGTTTTTTGTGTGTAATTTTGTATCCATCAGTTCGTTGGCTTAGTCTTGAATCGGTTTTCGGTTGTCCATCGCTTCTGTGGCAGGCTGGCTGCACAAGCATCTGGGCAAACTGTTGGAACAACGGCTGTACGGTCAACTGGTGACATCCAGGCGTATAGACGAGTGGATGATATACCGACAGGGAAGGAGCTCATGATTGAGGTTTGTCCAGCAAACTTTCAAAACTCTCTTCTGTTGCTGTGAAGTATTTTGATATGTGATGAAAGAAGGCAAAACTGTTGCTTTAGTCAGTGTTATGGAAAGATGGAATTGCTTGGGCTAGTGTAAAGCCCAAAAAGTCGTCTTCGCCATGTGGGCGATCCAGTCGTCAAGCTCAGGACAGTGAGTGTCTGGGCGCAACCGTGACAGTCGTAGGAAATCCACGGGTACACGAGGTAGCCGAGGTCGCAATACAATGGTGACATCCCCGTGCTATATCCCTACACTTATTAAAATCGCTAATGTGAGAATTTTGGCATCCGGGCCATCCGCGGACCTACCGGCCCAACGCGCAACGATCCAGGCCGTGCGCGGTCCTACTGGCCCGATGGCCCGGATTGCCCCGCGATCTTAAAACTTCAAGATCGCGGGGCAATCAGGGTCATTGGCTTGGTACCATGGCCAACGCCCCAGATTAGAAGTTTGCAGCCCAACCGAAGTTAGGGCTGCCAGGCGTGAGGAGAAACCCGTTCCAGGCGGGACGGTTGGCGGCGCACAGCATGCACTCACACGAACGCCTGTCCGTCCACTCAAACAAGAACATGCACAAGCACATGCATGCACACATGCACATGCACGCACAGCACGCACTCACACGAACGCCTGCCCGTCCGCTCGAACAAGCACATGCACGCACACACGCACAAGCACGAACACACGCATGCAAGCAAATGCATCATATGGAGACTGTCGGGGTTCAACCTCCTGATGAGTTGGTGAAAGTCTAACGAAACAGTCTGGCACAGTCATGCTTTTTTCGTGGGGTTCACACGAACTCTGGGTGGGTGGGTGCATGCGCTAGAGAGAGAGAGAGAGAGAGAGAGAGAGAGAGAGAGAGAGAGAGAGAGAGAGAGAGAGACACCAGGCACCCTACCATGACGACGCTGACTGATGAAAACGAGGTTGAAGACGCCGATGAAGATGAAAGACAAGGAGTAAGGAGCACTATTTGCAAGGACAAGGTGAGATGATAATGGTGTGGGGAAAGGGGGCCAAAACAGGCTATGGTGTAGTTTTTCTTTCCTACTCACTCTGATCGTGGAAGGGAGACGAAGTGACATGAAGGGGAGGACGAGGCTATGGTGGTTTTGTTTTTCTTTCCTATTCACTCTGATTGCGAAAGGGAAACTAGGCCACATAAAGGGGAGGACGAGGAAGAGGAAGAGGAACACGAGGAGGAGGAGAAAAGGAAGGCGAGAGCCTAAGAGGGAGGGCGGGTAGGGATGCAGAAAGAGATGGGGCTGGAGGAGGAAAACGGGGAGGAGCGAGGACAAAGGGGAAGTACGAGAAGAGGGGAAAGTACAGAGGAGGGAAAGGGAGGAGAAGGGGAAAAC